TTCTTGTCCGAAGAAGAAGAAGAAGAAGAAGAAGCAAGAGTCAAGCGAGTAATACTAGACCAGTCCTTGTTGTATATTTGCTCACATTACCGGTTACCCCTCTTCGGGTAATGGGCAAGTATTTTGAGTTCGAAAAGTTATGACAGAACTTTTCCACCAATCTAATGGATTGATCCCTTCAGCATGATCTTCCTTTACTGAAAATTCGATCGCTTTCTCTCTTAAGAACATGCAAACGAAGCAAAGGAAAACTTCCAACCACCACAAGATAAAATGGAAGATGTCTTGGATTTGGACTATGATGAAGGCTCACCCAATGGAACTCAAGACAGGGCAGAAGAAGGGGAAGAGGTACGTTTAACGTGTATTTATCGTAGACACTTCCTGGTGTACATCATTTGTAACTTAAAAATGTCGTTCGGGGTCATCACAGCGATGAGATATGTGCAAAAGTCTTGACGCCAGTAGGGACTCGAACTCGCGTTTGAACTTACCGAGTGCACTGTCCGTTACGCAACCATAGCTATGGCGTAAAGGCCTTGGAACTGATAGCCTAGAGCCGCGTTCATACTCTGCATCAGCGTTTCACGCCTGCGTTTTCAGCGACTGCCCGTGAAAAGTCCAAAACTACCTGCGAGACGCTCAAAACGCTGAAATAGAGTATGAACGCATTCTGAAAGATGGCCCTGGCGTCGTACCGGGTAGTACACTCGCTCTGTAAGGGTGAGGCTCGGGTTCGAATCCCGGCTGTGGGTGTTAACTTTTGCCCATTACTAACCATTCTTGTGATAACTTTCGGAGCGTGAGCTACGGCGCTAAGTATTATTTATCATAATGAAGGGATTGTTTGAAGAGTTCTGATGGAGAAATAGAGGATTCAAGTGATGAAAACAAAAACAACGCAGGCGATGGAGACAAGGAAGAAGGAGAAATAGTTGACAGTGAAGAAGACGAGGGGGAGATAGAAGCTGATGTTGGAAAGACGCGGAAAGTTCCCATCGAGGTAATTCTAGAACTTCTTTCCATTCATAAAGGGTGAGAGAAGATAAGAGAAAAACTGTTTTAAGTTCTGGGCAAACATGGGACAGGGTTGACCAGCTAATTGCTGATTATATACTTTGATAGCTATTTTGATATCATGTTTTTTACTAGTTGTTTGACAGTGTGCACAGGCCTAACTATCTTAAGGCTCGTCTCAGTCGCCCAGCTGCTGCCGCGCGAGGTAGAGGAGCTAAAGTGCGAGATTGTCCGTATGAAATTAACGGATCCTGTACATGGGGACCTGACTGTAAATACATCCACCGCAAAAAGGTATTATAATCGAAGTGTTCAACAGTTTTTTTCCACTAATTTTTACTGCTTAATAGCATCAGTTTTTTAGGAACCGTTAAGGCTCTTCAGCAGAGTGAAGGTAGCTGAGGGTAAGTCGAACATTTTTATTTCGCTCATTTTTTTCCAATCATTATGATTCGCAGAAAGAAAAGTTCCTTTTCGGAGACTGTATATCTGTTGTTCAGAGAGTTCATGGGAACGAGGTCTACGTGAGGCACGTGAAGCTATGCGAAGAGCCTCCAAAAAGCGCCAGGAACCGGAATTTGAAACGAAACGGCTGACTGCCGCACCAACTGGAGAGCGCACCAGATCGGTTCGCGATTCGGATTCAGACGAGGCTTCATCTCCGAGGTATCGCTGGGTTACTTTCCTATTAGAAATACATGCATGTTGAAGTAGAAGTGCAGAGTGAGGCCAGTGTCAATCGTTCGAATGAGCCTTGCAAACAAACAGTTGTTTTGGTCTTTTTTGGGTAGCAATACTCATTTGTGAAGTGTGCTTTAGCGTCTTGGGAGTTCACTATTTGATTGGACCTTTTTATTCGGCCAAAATATTTCAGACGATCGCCGCATTCGTCTCGTCCGCATATACCATCACTATTGGATATTAGTACTCTTCCTCCACGATTCCAGAGCCGATCATCTTCCCATAAAGGTGTGTTTTCGATGTGTGCTGTGACGTTTTTGTGATTAACAATGTATTGGTTTCCGTATGTGAAAACTATGTGATTGAGTATAGCTTTTTGGTTCGGTATTCTAAGGCTGCGTTTATGCTCTGCGTCCGCGTCGCCAGCGTCCACTAGCGTACAGCAGCGTTATCGCGGGCACTTTTGAACTTAAGCAGAGCTGCCCGCGAAAACGCTGGAACAAGCTGATTGACACTGGCGTTCATCCATACTTTCCTAGTTGCTGGTACGCTGGCGAACGCTAGTAGACGCTGTCATTATCTAGATCGATGTCTATACTTTCCTAGTCGCTGGCGTACGGTTGAAACGTGACGCAAAGTATGAACGCAGCTTAATACGACCTGGTGACTGTTGTGTTGTTTTGTCGTACTGATGTGTGAGTTTCCTGTCAGACGGTGTGCGTGGTGCGACGCGTGGTTCGCCATGTTATTCCGATGACGACGACAATGTGTCTTCTCGACATTATAGAACAGACAACGGAAGAGGTAGAGACAGTGGAAGTTACAGAGAGCGGCGTGAAATCAAGGGTACGGCTTAAATATTTGAGATATGAGTTAGTTTTCTAACCCATTATCCTCAAAAAGCTCCTAATAATTTGCTTGTAATGGGATGGTGGAGTTGAATTTTGGCGAGTAGTATTCACGCGGAAAGCTTATCCACCCTCATCCACTCACCTCTCTCGCTTAAAGGACTTGAAATGCTCTTGGGGGACCTGTTTGTGAACCAGACGGGGCAGGCACCTGGTTATTGGAATTCCTGTGCGAACTAATCTGAAAATGATAAGCGCTTGTCAGCTTGTGCAGCTTACCACACCACAGTTCCTGAGCGGTAAAAAACCCTTCCGCTTGCTTCTGCTTGAAAAAGTATTTCACGAAATCTTTGCTGTTTAGATAATTCAAGTGCTAGTCAAGTCTTTATCAGTTGCTGAGATGTTGGCAAAACGATTTGCTTCGGCCGGCCTCCAGACCCTCGCCTTTCTTCCGGAGTAGTCGCGCTACCGTTACACCACCGAAACCTGCTTTGCAGTACCGTTAATCTAAAGACAGAATGCTCGATCACCAGAAGGTGGTCCTTCCGACAGCGTTCAGACTTGGCGATGACGCACGTCTGCCCGCGACCAATGCAACAACGCTCCAACGCTGCTGCAGAAAAACGGCGCCGTAGACGGGTATCGATCGGTGCCGGCCGCTACTGCTTGAGAGAGTGTGATGATGGTATGCGTTGTCTAATCACACCGTCTGTGTCGAATGGCGCCGACAGCCAGTGTATTGTATTCTAGGGGCACAGCAAGGAACAGGTTCCAGACCGTGAGATTTGAGAACGCGTACTTTCCCACATCATACTCTGTCAAAGCAGTAGAGGCCAGCGCCGATCTATATCCTTTTAAGGCTGTGTTCCCGTCTGTAGCATTTGAGTGCTGAATTGTAGCGCGTCTACAGCACGAGCGCGTCATTGCGAATTTCGAGCGCTACCTTCCACGTGCGAGACGAACTGGTGCGCAGCCGTAAAACTGAAGTACCCTTAGCATGCGAAAGTGGGTGGTGATGAAGCGGGAGGTTTGTGATGACTTTATCCCTACAGTTCTTACATTTCCACTAATCGTTCCGAAATCGAGCGTGAAAAATGAAAGAACCCCAGCCATACAAGAAATGGCGCGTATCATTATGGTTATATTTATAGCTGAAGTTATTGCATACGTTGTTGCTGTCCCATGTGTGCCATGTTCTGAATGACGAACGGATCTTTAAGTTGTCATAAAGCTGGCTCCAGTGCCGCGCCTTTGAGTGCCAGCAGTGCTGTAGCCCTACGACCACGCACCTGCCCGTCTCACACACGAGAAGGATGCCATCAAGTTATCGTGCAGTGTGCCACCAATTGTCTTTACCTCCTCCTCACACGTTCGACGTGATGATCCGGTCAGCCGATTTCAGCGGCGAAGCGTGACGGCACATCAGCTATACAAACAGGGTGCAGCTTCGTTTGTAAAACCCATCGAGGAGGTCGTAGTTGACCTATAAAGGCTGGGGGCGGAGGGTGGATCATAAGTGCAAGAGGTGAGCACCGAGCAGCACAAAATTGTCATCGCGAAGATTTGTGGAACCTAACCAGTGCTGTAGAGAACGTTGCGTATGTATAAGGCTACAAAATATTGAAATAATTGACTAAAAATATTAGTATTTAGCATAAATTCCAAATTATATAGATATTTAGATGAGATTGGATACAGCACAAACAGATTCGTTCGTATCGACTTTTGCGATCCTGGAAGCATCTTTTTGAATTCCACCACCTCTGCTTTGAAGTGGTCGATTTCGTCTGAGTGTGCTCCCTCCATTGTGGGAGCGTAATGCACGGCGCACACTCAGGACAATGACGCAGGAGGAGTCGAGCTTTCAAGCCGCTCGGAATTTCGCCTATCAATAACCCGTCTGAAATATCTTCTAGACTGTCAGAGGTCTTTAGAAAGAGGTGAATGCTTACTTTCGAACAAGGAAAAGGGTTGTGTATTTCAAGACGTTTTCATTTGCAAAAGATTGCGTGTGAAAAAAGATATCATCGTCTGAAGCATAAAAACTCGCGTGTGGTTTGTCATTAACCCGTCTGAAACTCATCCCAAAAAGAATTTTCGTACAGAGAGGTCGAGGTTGCATAGCAACAGTAGAGCTATCGTTCAAATGCTGTCTACCGTTTCAGGAAAGATCCTAACCTGAAAACTTATAATGCCAGAAGGGACATTGCAGGTTCCTACAATGTCAGCAAATGTGACCCAGCGCCATTTTGCGCTGGGATCACGTCGCTGCCGCAAACGCTTGCAGATAGTTACGTGTCTGATCGTTTTTGTTACAGCTTAGAGATAGAGCCGGAAGGGGGTTGCACGAATACCGCTAGTTCGCTGATCACGATGCTGTACCCTGTGCCTACAAAAGAAAATTATAGTGCTAGAAGGAAAAATAGGCGAGAAATGTGAGATATCGTGCGCCCAATAAATTAAAATACGATTTTAACTTGAGTAGACAAAGTGCAATGCCACCATTTGTATATTTGGTTATGACTAACATTGAAGAGCAAAATCCTTGCTCAAGCCTTTATGGCTTAGCTGTGAATGGTTTATATGTTATTTGCTGTTGTCTGACAAATTCGATTAGCTACGTAGCTTTTCTGTTTTGCATTCAAATAAGTGTGCTGAACTATGCAGACGTCAATTATCGTTGAAAATTTTAGATTTGGGACCACAAGTGCGGTACCCATGTGGACGACCACCGCCACCGCCTCGCAGTGATGCAAGGCGAAGTGGAGGGGGTGATGGTAGTGGTCATCGCTATTCATCGTCACGACAGGAAAAAGTCAAAGATTCAGCACCACGTTCACGACGTGATTCACCACAGAGCTCTTCGTCTACCAAGGCAAAGTCTCGCAGTGGAAGGTATGTTCAATGTCTCGCTGTAACATTGCGCGTCAGCAGCCAGAAGCGTTTCGAGCGTACGCCAGCCCCAGCGACTAGGAAAGTATAGATATCGTTCTAGCAAATGGGCAGCCTCCCCACCGTGCAGGAGTGGGGAGTATGGGGGGGGGGGGAATAGGGGGAGTAGCATTAGGCGGTCGCTGACCGCATTGCGTTGTCATGCAACTCACCACGGTACAGCTGGTAAAGCACGAAATCTCGAGGTATAGTGCAGTTGTATGGCGCTCTTGCACCTGTCTGCTGCCCTCCTAATTCCCCACACTCTTCACTCCTGCACGCTTGAGCATTGGCGTTTACAAGCTCGATACTTATACTTTCCTAGTCGCTGGGGTCGGCGCTACGCTATTTTGAACGACTGAAGGGACGCTGTCGCAATGTATGAATGCAACATTGCATCTACTCGTACTTGCAGTAACAGGATATCTCCTTCGCTTGATGTATCCCCAATAAGTAGCGACTCCTCAACATCACCAGCTAGGAGTCCTCGGAAAAGTGCTGCTGCACCTCACGCAGACAAAAATGGTGATAAAAAAGGTACTTTGTTATGGGTAGTTGCGTTTTTTTCAGTTATCTTCATTTTTCTTTCCAGCAAAAAAGAAAGTACAAAGCGGTGGTGCTATGGGTGACGTGACTGATCCATGGGCTCGAAAAAAGAAGCCAGGCGCGCCCCGCGGGGGCCCGCCTCGAGATGGACAAAGGATAACAATGAACAAAGCGAGCGACGCCTCGTCGCCATTAGCTTCGTGCTGTTTATGCTTTAGGCTGGGGTTTCTCTGTTTTTAGGTGCAAGAAATAAAATACTTTTTTGCAGGGGAATGCGTTCATCAAGACAGCCAATTGAAAAACTTCGTCGTGCCCGCAGACTGCATCTACAACATGCCTGCGTACTCACGTTCGACCGCGTTCACCACCGAAGGTTTACTACTGTTACTTTTAGTTCCATCTACCATACCCTCTCCGTTTTAAAATTCAGGTCAAATCTTATTCGTTTTTCCCCCGGAAGAAATGTTGGCTGGATTTCGTCCTCTGATGGCTTTACCCCTCCAATAGGGTTATCACATCCGTTGGGCTGAAAAATATCTAGAGCCCGCGCCCTGGGCGCCAGCCAAAAACACCTCAAACAACCAAATGTGCTGAAAATATGTTCCATTGGGTGGTTTGATCTCCCAGACACATATTAGCTCAAGAGCACCTGGTGCTAAACTGAAATAAGATGTGGACAGCAGCATTTCACGTAATATTCATGTTCATAGAGTCCATGCCATAGGCGCGGCTGATTGTCACAGGACACGTCCATTGGTTGGGATTTTGTTCGACTCTATACGACCCCCCCTCGCCTTTTTCTTTGAGTTGGTACCGCCCCCCCCACTGTCCTTCCTCAATCGAATCGAAGCGTCGAGGGGGTTTGGTGGGGCAGGGTAATAGTACGCATGAAAACGGGAAAATCACCAAGTACACCAGCACTTCTACAACCGGCAAGAGGTAAATGCGAACGCCCCCCCCCCCCCTTTACAAACGTCCATGAAAAGCTGCGAGAAAACAACTATCAAAATAAAATTTTACTTCAGTCAACTACGACCCCCTTCCTTGACGACAAATACGAACCCCCCTCCGTAGCTGGGGCATATCCCCAACAACGATGTGCCCTGATTTGCCGTCAAGGTACGGATTTAATCTCCATTGAAATGCTAGCCTGAATTCTGAAGAAAGGGGCAGTACAAAGTAGACTAAGCTGCCTCCGTAATTTTCATGTGTCTCATCTCCCGTGGTGATCACTCGCGTGAAATTGTCCTCATCATTTCAACCAATTTCTCTGGTAGAACATAACTCTTCGATAACGTTTGCACTATTTTTAAATGGATGTTAAGGACCCTTACGACATTATTTACATTTCCTTGAACCCCTGCGAAGTTTTCGTTTTGTTCTTCAGGCTGATACGAGACTTTCACCACCAAGAGGAGATATTGCGGGATTTCGTATTCCCAAAAAACACAGCGCCGCCACATCTCGCGATCGGATATCTGGGTTTGTGGTTTTCATCAGAATATTAGATTCTTTATTCTTTGGAATGGATTCCATTCCAAATATTTCCTTTCAGCAGCGCTCGTGGGTCTAGTGATGCTGGACGAGACCAAGCGTTTTCCAAGAAATCTAATGCAAACCCACTCCCCTCGAAGGTATCTGTTTTTTTGCAAGTACTTTGCTCTATTATTGTTTTAGCATTGGCCGATAACCCGGTTATTTCCCAGAAACCACGAAGCAAAGCAAAGGCTGCGAACCCATCGGGTATCCGATGATGAGGTTGACGATACAATGGATAGCCGTGGTGCTGAGAATATCAGCGATGTTTGTACTTTTTATTGTTTTCCTTGTAATGGTGAAAGCGCGAATTAGCTCCCAATATGCATGTTTTAGTCGGAAGTCCGCCTCAATCCGGTCAGGCTCTCGGACAGCTCCTCTGCAGATGTCTGCATCTTCATCTCGGTAAGCCTCATCACAGATGGTCGATCCCCTTCGCTGCACTATCGGCAAAGTCAGTATCCGTGGCTTTAGAAGAGGCGCAGGCCATCAGCGGAAAAGTGAGCGCACTGATCACTCGTTTGTCGTTTATCACCATTTTGAAAGTGTCTTTCAACCCTCTGCCTCCTCTGACTTTCTTAAATTAGGAATGTGGCATCGGCATCAGATTCGGATGGTGAAATGAAGAAGAAAAACCGCTCCAAAGAGTGCTACGAAGGTTTTGGTGCGTCGGTGCCGTGTGCGTCGCCACAATCTTCGTGAAATGTGGAGTGCTTCCTCCTCATAAAAAATAAGCCGACTTTCAGTCAGCGAGACATTTTCACGTTTTAGATCACCGTCACCATCTCCTCCTCCACCACCGCCTCCACCAGATGATGCTAATAGTCGTCGACGTCAGCGTGAAAAATCTGTGACACCTTCCACCTCCCACCGGCCTCCTCTTCCTCTAATAACATGAATTTGTTTATGGAAAACAGTGCAGGAAAGGGTTAGAGGTCTCCTAGAGTAAGCCGCTTCACTCTACCGAGAAGCCTGTAAACGTCGAAGAAAGTCCTCCCAAGAAAAGGCACCAAGATTAAGCACGACGGTGAGCTTCTTCTTATCGCATTTGCTTTTTCTGGGTGCTTTTCTAAACACGGGTGCATTATACGGTTGACAGATGACAGCGCATGTTACTGCCCCACCCCCTCTGAATGGGCCTCAAACGCTTCCCTAGCCGCTGTCTGCGCTCGGTCATTTAGCGTCTGCAGTTCTCATGTGCCAGATAGCCTTGCTCTCCACGTTCGCTTGTCTTTTCAACAGTCCACTACGTTTGCAATGTTGCACACATCTTATCTTCACAGTGTACATTAGGCTTTTGTCGTTAGTGATTGGAACAAACATTCTGTTTCGAGTGACAGAGAAATCTCAACCTGCCAATTGGGATTGTAGTCCGCCGATCTGGACCATTTTTCAAGAGTGTGTCGCGTTATGTGAAGTGGGCAGTTTCTAATATGGGGCGAGCCACTTTCCAACCTTGAAAGGCGAAACATCTCGAAAGGAAGATCGAAATTCCACACAAAGCCAAAAGTGCTGCGTGGTCGAGGGCGGCTGGCTTAAGTGTGTCAGTTTACTAGATGCACATCAGCGAGTTTGTTTTGTGAAGAAAGTGTAGTGAAAAGAACGACGTCAAAAAGAGGTGTCAAAGTTCGAAACTTCGAATAACTTCATGAAGTGGGCGGGGTCGTACATGTGTCGGGATGATATGATGTATGTGCGAAATAGCAAAAGTGCAGAAAAATGAATAGAGCAGAATTCATAGAACATTGTGGGAAACCGTGACCGCGCTGAGAAGGAAGGTTGGTTGGGGCTGGGGACTGTGGCAGTACCTAGTGTGGTCTAATCAGTCGACTGCTTAATGTGAGAGGTATGCCCGATCGGTTTGAAAAGTGTCCATTTCGCTTGAAAAGTGTCCAAATTGTTTTGAAAAGTGTCCGATTTGAGATGAAAATGGTGTTATCATTTCTCAGCTGAATTTTTCCGTTGCAGGCCTCACGGATAAAGAGCGACGAAAGAGAGAGCTAATGGAGCAACTGCGTGCTGTCGAGGAAGAACTAAAGAAAAGGACAGCGGCAACGTCTGCGTTGGCTGATAAATGACCTAAGAGTATTTAAATGCGGAAATTTTACCAGATATACGTGATGTTCTCGTTGTTAACTTACTGTTTAGGGTTCGGTATAATAGCATTGCGAAAAGCTTATTATGAGTTCTCATCATGGCGCCGAAAAGGCGTCGCGTTTCATTAATGAAATGGGCTAAATGTGATAATAACCAGAGCTATTGGAGTGGAAGATGACGGGCAATTTGTAGAAAAAGGATTATTAAACCAGCGGCTTGTCGGGAAAGTTGTGGGAGAATGGTGTCGTTTCACACGTTTGAAGGTGATCATAACTTACATCCCATTGGTTATCTAAGGCCCAGAGAAAATAGTGCAATAAACATCAAAGTGGATTATTTTTCAAAATGCCATGCTCATTAATGTATTTTTAGTTCGGACTTGGACAATATTTATTTGATGAATTTTATAACTGCATGTTTTGCTTAGACGTTTGTTTTACTAATAGTTTTTGTTTTTCTTGCTACTAGCATAGTACACTGAATAGCATCTAGTCAGCACCTGGAATAATCTACCAGCCATTTTAACTGAATAATGACAGCAGAAGAGTTGTTTTCTGTTTTCCACCAGGTGTTAGATAATGTTTATTTCGTAATTCTCGTCACATTCTTCGTCTTACTTGCACAACTAGAAATGCTGATTTGACCCTTTTGATGTTTAATTTGTGCTCATTGTAATATAAATTTTAATGCAGTAAGCTGTGATACATCTTTTATTCGTAGACTAGACGATTTTTTCTCTAGTGGGCTTTATTTTTTTTTCATGGTTCTTATTTGCAATGCAAACTCGACAGCACACAGTACAAGAGCCCTTGGAAGAAATGTATTGGCCTTGTTAAAAGTTTTTAGGCCGCGTTCATACTTCGTGTAGGCGTCCACCAGCGACCACCAATGTTTCGACCGTACAGCAGCGCCAGCGACTAGGAAAGTATAACTATCGAGCTAGTAAACGACAGCATCCAACAGTGTTCAGAGTGGAGAGTATGGGGATGTAAGAGGACAGCAGACAGCTGAAGTAGGCGTCTTGAAATTGCAGCGTGTGCAACCGCACTGTGCAACTGCTAAAGCGACTAATGCCATTTTGCAGTTGCAGTTGTATGGTGCGGTTGGAACGCTGCAGTGTCTCAACGCCTAATTCAGCTGTCTGCTGTCTTCTACTTCCCCATACTCTCCCTTCCTGGACGTTCGCTGGATTGGTACCTGTACTTCGCTAGTCGTTAGCGCTGGCCGACGCATGAAACACTGACGGTCGCTGGTGGACGCTTTTTCAAAGTATGAACGCAGCCTCACTTGTACCTACCATGGTTTTTCGCCTTGTTGGAGAAATTTATTCCCTCTCGTTCTCTATACCGGTCGTTCTCTATACCGGCTTCCATCGCTATACTCAACAGCTGTGGTGAACGGGAACCGTTGTACGTTGGGAATCACAAGCGAGGAGACCGTGCTTGGCCTCTTGGGGGAGAAGGGTCGTTGCTTGCTCTTGAGAGGGTTGTTTTCGGGTTAGGCATTTCTCGGTTTTCCTTGTTTCAAGCGCGTAATATGGTACACACTAGACAAAGGTTTCGGGGCCAGGGCACATCGTTGTTGAGATTCCCCAACAAGGGAAGGGTCGTATTTGGTCGCGGGAAGAGGGAGTCGTATTTTCCTCCCCGCTTTTTCCCGTTCCACATGTGAAATCCCCAACCAATTGTGTGTGTGGGAAGAAAGAGAGGGTTTCCACAAAAAAAAACCTCGGAAAATTCAGAAAAGTGGTAGAAAGGAGGGAAAATCATGTATGAAGGTATGTGGGATGGGAGTGGTTGGAAGTCGTACCAGAGAAGGGAGTCTAGAGGCTTCCAGACGTGAAGGAGATGAAAAGATCCATGATTTTTGCAGTGTCACATTTTTTGGAGTGAGCGTGAGAAGGGTTGACCGTTGCTGAGGCGCTACCGCTAGCGATTCACCTGGATAATTAACCTCGTCATCCGGGCAGTTGATTAGGGCGGTCGTCAACGGGCCGCAGCGCGTGCCAGGAACTATTTGCTTTTTCCAGGCTAATTTAGTCATTTTTTCCACCTTGTGAAGATAAGGAGCTGCTAATCTGGGAAAAGTAGCCAAACAGTGAAAAGTTGGAAAAATGAGATAAATTGCCTGGAAAAGCAAATAGTTCCTGGCGCGCGCTGCGGCCCGTTGACGACCGCCCTAATCAACTGCCCGGATGACGAGGGTACGTTGTCGCTGCGCCCGCATTCCTGCACAAATACTTTGGCTAATCCGTGGGAGACAAATGTATTAGTTGCGGTCTGGAGAGTCGCGGAATTTACACAATTGAGAGAATCAGCAAGAGTACTACGTGGAGATTGATCATTTGACCAGGCCTCCAATGTGCACTTCGTTAAATACAATTATCGTGACCTCTGTCACGAGGAATGGCATGGCGAGAAGGCGGAGCTCTCGGAAATCTAGTCAACAATCAGCAAATGCAATCAGTGGAACCGATAGAATAGGATTCAAACCATTACGTATGTACATAGTCTAGTTCACTGCCTAGAAAGGGCGTGTCAGGCGGGATGAGTTGATGCGGTTGTTGTTGAAGCACCAGTTGTTGAAGCGAGGAAGTGACAAGACTGTATCATATCGTTCGTATCACTCTCATCGTTTTCTACCAGGTGTCAACAGTTGGCAGAGAACGGACCCCCATGACACACACATACTGCCTGACACGCCCCCTCATCCGCAGCAATCTAGAGTATACATTCTTTTCTCCAAATACCTAACGGAATTTTTACTGTTTCATCGAAGTATCTCTAAATGAATGCTGCCTAAACGGTTTCTTATCGGAGCGCACAAATTTATTTGTGGCACACGGGAACACTTGTCGTTATACGAGCATCTACGCATCAGATATCATCATTACTCATATTACAGCCCATTAGCTGCTATTAGGAAGCATGGGCAATCAAGACGAAGAGCAACGGCTCGGGGTGTTACATCTGGACAAAACTAGTAACCGCAAAAGAAACCCAAAAAGGACGAAGAGAACGAATTTCACCAGAAGTGCTCTAACTGAAGAGGATAAACGTGCGCTGAGGTGGGTTTCCTTACTTTAGGCGATAAGTTATTAATAATCTTGTAGCGGTGGTAAGCCTATCGAGAAGCCATTCGAGTGTAGATTAGCAGGTCTCTGAAGGCACGACAAACCAATTTCTTTTATTTTACAGGTTTGGGAAAAGTAGTATCCACCTAGATTCAAATAGCATAACCATTTTTTCCATGAGAGAATTGCTTACCCATACCAAGCTCTTTCCCTGTGACTTTAGGCAAATTTTTCATCCCCGGCTCATGATGGTTGCCTCACTATTTCCGTGCTAAATGTAGTTCAAGGTAAAAAAGAGACATAAGAGAAATGGCATTGTAACGAAGTTAGCACCAAGATTTCAGTGACTTGAAAAACTTTTAGGTTGGGATCGCACTGTAATCCGACAAGTTACTACATTTAGGTACCCAGGCATATTAGAATGGCATTCGTATGTCTGATTCGGGGGTAGTTCAGCACATCCGACCCGCGGCTAATCCTGCCAAAGAGGCGTTAGAAGCAGGGTCATTCGCACCCAACTCCCTCTAAGTGGCGAAGCTTCTACACGCGATAAATAACATAATATTCGCTTGTAAGGTACAGCAGCTGTTGGATTTCGGAGTGGAATGCTGTACGCTAGAGAAATCCAGGTGTGCCTCTCATTTCGAGCGAGGTCACACGTTGGTCGTCTAATCTGTTGTCTATGGCTCATAATTACATGTCATGTCTAAGTACCTCTTAAGCTACGCCAAGGAGCCGGTAGGATTTGAAGGAATAGAATGGTATATCCTGATTGTTGGTAAGACGGGGTAATTTCGCAGTCGGTTCTGTTGAATAACGGTAACGGTTATGGTGTTCCATTGTGTTGATTGAAGGTAATGGCTGAGTGATATCAGTGGTAGAATGTAGCAAAATGCTCCGAGGCTAGGCGGGTTTCTCGCTTGAGTCGAGGTCACTCTTTAAAGGCACGCCCCGCTTTCAAAAATGGACGTGAACCAATGCCAAACGTCATTCTAATTGTGAAAAGCCGACAGAGAGGGCGCTGACTGACGAGTATTACGTCTTATAGTTACGCCAACTCTTTTCCTAACCTGCACTCTCACCGTTGGACGGAGGCACGGGCGGATAAACCGCAATCATCAGAGATTTTCTTCTTAGAAATGACAAACTGCGTACGCTAGGCAGTGAGCGGGAAGGAGTGGGGGGTGGCCGTCGTCGCGAGCCGCAGTCGCGAGCTTCCCTCGACGGTATTTTATGAGCTCACGAAATTAGTACATCCTTCATGGCTCGCGAGGCAGCGACTACCATTCCAACGGAAGCTGTCTAGAACCATCAAACGAACCGGAGCGGCATTAAGTATCTTAATAAAATACCCACGGGTCATAATCGTATGACTCAGTCGCACCTAGGCGTCAACAGCCACTCAGTACCTTAATCGAAGGATGCACGCGGTAGTGTAGTGGCTAATCCAGAAACAGTGATTTCGACGTCTAGGGTGGATGCAGGGCTACGATGTACTGATATCTGAGAAATTATCCAAATATATTTTTTCCTGATTTGTGACAAATATTACGACTTTTTTTCGAGTTATCATATGCACTTTTTTTAGTAAACGTATCGAGCATCTTCGGTCTTTGTTGTTCTACTGCTAATAAATTACCTAACTTTCTTAGTTACTATTACTCAACGACCATCTGAGAAAACTTAAACTCATTTCATGACGTTAAGGTATGCTCAAGTTGAGCCATTGTACCAGATGTGGTGTGAGTATTACCGCAGTTTGTTAGGAGAAAGAGAGAAAACGCCAGATGAGCGTATGTTGAAGGCCGACTACCTACGGTGCTCCTAGTGCCTTGTGCCCGACCGCCACAACCCTACTATGTGTAAGTATGTGCTTGTAATCATGTAAACTGTTAGAGTCACGAGGTGCCTATTGCTTGTTTCAATTGTATAAAGTTGGCATAGTAATCCTGGAAACTAGGCAGACTTTTCAGTTGATAACCAAAGATGACAAGTATTTGGGTGAGTGTGCGTTCAGAATACTTCAAGTGCTGAGAGAGAAGTGTTTGAAGGATCAGCAATGTTGAGTGCACAGGGCGAGATATACCTACTTTACCAGGGTATAAGGCGCACCCCTAAATAGGGTACAGCTTCGCCTCGAACGCCGCTTATCTTTTTTTTTTCTGGTTTTACTGTTCTCGTGTTATTTGTTTGTTCTTATTTGGCGCAGAATAGTTTACTATTATACAGTTCCCGGACCTAGCGTTGACACACATGTGTGTCTACAATTGCTCTCTTAATGCTGGCTTTTATTGGATGTATTTTGATTATTACTTTCATGTTTTTTGTTGTGAAAACATGTCATCGGTTCGCAAAAAATAATGCTTTTCTCAGAGACGTTTGGAAAATAGGAGCGAAATTAACTGATCAAGATTTTTTTTTATGACCCCAAAATGATGAATATGATTAGCGACGTGCGCGCAGTACGGCCGGTCCGCAATGTGTTAAAAAAGTGCTTGGAAACCAATTATAGGCTTAGAATATGAAAAAAAGACCGAAAAGGTGTTGATGCGACTGGAAATTTTTTGAGCGCCTTGTTCCCATGCGTCTGCGCTAACTAAACTGCAAAAATGCGCCATTTATTCCAGAGAGTAACGTAATATGCAAGGCCACCACTGGAATGAGTGTCAGACATTTATTTCCACTTTGTGAACAAATAGAAATATTTCTTGACCACGTTCAGACTTCCGCCATCGCGCGATTGGATCACGCGAGTACCGACCAGCAGGGCACTCCGTCCGTCAAGCGGTGCGGTGGCCTACAGCGATGGCAGAATTGAGAATTGACGCCATTCACAATGTGGTCAGACGAGCTACAGCCGTGCGGCGGCCCCACCCGTTTGGCGGTAGAGCGCCCCACCGTCGTAGGTCGCTCAAGTCCAAAGTCTGCTATCCTACGCTCGATCATTCGCCCGCCGATGGAGGATCAGTATGAACAGCGGTCTATGGACGCACTCTAGCATTAACAACTTTGAATCCTTAGGATCTGGTGCAGTGCTAACGCGTGTGAGCCAGCTTGTAACAGTTCTACGCCACGCGTGGACCTAAGTATGCTTCTAACGACTGGTATCGAGACCTGGTCACTTGCAGCTAGTTTATTCAGAGGAAGTGTTAAACGTCAGCTCCCAATTTTCATTTTCAGTGATCCCCCAAACAAGGAACAAGCTTGGCAGTGTCATTGCTTGATGACGCCGTATTCACAATTTGTTCGGTGACGCCAATGAAGTATAAACGCCTCGCTCGAGGAAAAGGACATCGTCTTCGGTAGACATTACCATTCTTATCATTCGCATTGAAATTTTCTGTCCAGTTCACTGTTCGCATGCTAATCGTTAAAATCAACGTGAATGAACGACTGTATGCCTCTCAGACCTTAGGTAAGTCATGTCCATATCTTTTGTAGGAATACCGGAGACGGCAATTTTATGGCGCGCGGTCGCAACGCGGTCCTGCCATCTATTCTGATAAAATTGTGTAGTGTTTTTGACCTCCCCTTTCCCTGGAGGTCCTCTTAACATCACTCAGGATTCAAGAAAATCTTTCCCGCGGGCGGTTATGTGGCTATTTGAACTCTTACACAGGGTCCTATTGAAGCCCCAATCCCTGAGGAGCTGACCAGTTTCCCTTCTACGAGGTTCGTTTTTTCATTTCCATCCCACTTCGATAGTTAGGTCCATCATATCCCTGCTATATAAGGATCAGGGGGCGTCGTACATGGGGCATCCCCAGCAAGCAAGGTGACTTTATTCGGTCGGTGAAGAAAGAAGGTAGTGTTTGCCTTTATTGCCTTCGAGTGGAATGGATTTCGGTTTCTTCCTTCGGTTCCCCCCGTTTTCCCCTTTCATTTGCGCTATCCCCCTGCTCGACAGCAGTTTCTAAAGCCGGAGTAAGTTAAGTTGTAGGGGAATCAAGGTGAATTTAGGAAGGTAGTAGGTAGAATTTCTGAATTTTCCCCTAACGCCAGGACATGCCCTAGTATGGATGTTCTCTTTGTATTGTGGGAATATACGTTTTCCATCTATTGAATAATTCGAGGCCTAAAGAAGGCATTAATTTCGGAAGCTCCCCAATAAATTTTGAAGACGGGTATTGAATATAAAATGATGAGAAAACACAATTCTAACAAGGAAATTGGAGCTACAGTACTTTTGACGTTGTTTTAGGACAATCTGAGATTTTAGTGTTGATAATTCAAACCACAAAAAAACCAGTTTATTTCATAAATATTTGTTAAGGCGTTATTTGTTACACTCATCGGACTTCAGAAAAAGATATCACTGTAAAAATGTTGCTGTTCCCTGTTAAAGCTTAGCAATACACGTATGGTTGTATGAAATTGACCCGAAATCGCTCCCATGATTCCGCTGTTCCTACATTGCTACCAATTGTGATGTAGATGGTAGAGGTTTGTTGAGGAGTTGTTCGCTAAAAGAAGTGAAAATTGTTGCATGAAGAGTACCGCCATGCGTTTGATTCGATCGCTTACCTTGATGAGTATCCACTATTCGTCATCGAATTCCGAGTTCCTTTTCTATTTCTTTCCATCATCGTTACGTAAGCGATTACCATTGAGAAAACAGCGATCAGTATCCATGCAATGAATACAAGACTAATAGCGGCGGCAAAACGAGGAACTGCTGACGTCGGAAATGAATGTTTTTAGAAACTATAAATCTGAAATCTGAAAAGGGGATCTTTCCCACAATGTGGTGGTGATGATGGGGCTAGGGTAACGTTGGAGAAAAGGGAAAGGCCCCACGTAGGGAAGCCCAAGGCCCGCGGGCTTTCTCATTCCTGGGCTCGCTCTAAAGAAGCTGCTGGGAGGGGGCGGGTCTTCAAACAACCCTTAGTGGAGGGATGTGGAGCAGCTTACTCTACCAGACGCACTTGTATGGTGCGCAGTTCTGCAATGTGACATATAGGTACGCTGGCATCAGGAAACTAACTCTTAGGCAAGTTTAGCTGACGACTTTCTACTCTGCTGACTCAATTGACTACTGACTCAGTGTTATCATCCGGAAATATTCCGTAAGAGTTCCTTATTATTAGTAGTATAGTATTTCGTTAAAGACATAGGGCACGATAACTTGGTTCTCGTTCTGAAATGCTGGCAGGGTGCTATACAAAGGGAAAAAGGCAAAAAACGAAGTAGAACGTTTAAAAACCTGCGAAAGGTATTTGCTTCTCAGTAGGCAGTTTCGGACGAGTTATCCGTTGGCATCGTGCCAATAACCGCTACGGTAGGTACGGCTGCATGTATGTACTCATATATCCATGCAGCACCGCAGCCGCTTCATACCAATCCTTTCGCTTCATATTTACTTCGCAAATGAAGCGATACGAGCATCAGAAACGTCGTCCATTTGTGGGCGGGCGGGCGCGGTGGGCGTCCGGTCGGTATGTTGCAGCTTGATAGGGCGCTATGAGGGTACCTTCCATGGGAAGGCGCCATGCAGCGCCTGCTCAGGGGCGCGGGAATCCGTCCTGCCAGACGTATCATTCTTACTCCTTATGATCTGTCGTGCCAACTGCATTCAAGTCAAATGGTATGCTGGTAGCGAAAGAAGTGTGGGAATATTGGGGGGGGGGATCATTTTTGACAGTTTATGTAGACCGCACAGCGACTACTGGTGCTGTCACAACTCAGTGGAGCTGGTGAATAGCGACTACGTCGGTCAATCATATTCTTTCGAGTTACCTTATAGGGCTTACCTATAAAAGTGGGAGTGGGGGAGGGATTCAAGATCCATATCAACTCCCCAGGCCAACCTACCTTCCATCCATCTAGAGTGGGTTGGTATTAGACTTACCCGGAGGTCCGGAAGCACTGACTTATATGTAGAAGCAGATCTTACAAATGGTAGTCTTGAACGCACCCAAAAAGCCCCTACTATTTCGAACGAGGAAGATGCGTGCCGCGTCCTGTAGAGGGATCAATGCCGGTTGCTTTACCTTTTTCTCCAGTCTGCTGAACGGTGGAATGGAGAGATATCAAATGGTGGATGTCGTACAAAGAGGAACACCATTGGAAGTGACTGGTAATAAAACAGCCTGACATCGCACCAAGCATGTAACCTCTGGATGGTTCGACTAAGCATTAAACGCGGGCTTGAATAAATAATGCCAAAGTAAATATAACGTGGAGCACGTGATGGTCTCACCTGCAACGCAGTTTCCAACTTCATCCTTTGAGAATCCTGTGCAGCATTCGTTTGTACCAATAGGTCTGTCAGTGACATCATGGAAGATATAGCTAAATATGGGAAAATGTCTGCTCATGTTTAGAAAATGGGAAAAGAGCACGAAAACAGAGCAATTCCTCGGTGAGTCATTATTCTGCAAACAGGGTACAGCATCGTGATGTGTGAAATGGTGGTGTCAATACGATTCGCCCCCGGCACCTCCCTTTCCATCACTAACTGCCATTTCCCACTTTTTTCTTCTAGCCCAAAATTTCCCGTCAGGGGGGGTGCGAGGGGCGTACTATAGCCAATTTGGAAGGGGAAAAGTTTTTAGATTTTCCCCCGACTTCTTACCCATCTTTTCCCATGATTTTCTCCCCGAGAATTTTCCTGATGTTTTCCAAAAAATTTCTGAGGAGGGGACGGGGTGGTATGGTAGCACATGAAACGTCTGAGGAAAGATCACGAAAAATCAACGACCGCGGAAAATTTTTTCCCAACGCGAGCAAATTTCTCTGGAAGCCACATATGACCGCCCTCTCCCAACAACGACGCGAATACGAACCCATCCTCAATCACAAAAGTACGACCCACATGTGTTTCACACAACGATGCTCTACCCTGTCTGTCAACAAGAGCACGCATGAAGAGGTGTCGTTTCTTCCAGCCTCTTCCACAACATCCTGAGCCGGCTGGAGGTACTGGAAAAGTATGTCTCAGCTACGCTCTAATCTACACCCTTTCCCATGTCTCGTTTGCAGGAATATTGGCTGTACGTTGGTCAGTTGTTATGACGAAACAGCCCACCTTTTTCCGTCCACACAACGCCGAGTTCCGTTTGGTGACCGTGCCACGCACAACGGTAATAAAAGGATACCTATCATCGAGTTCTGAAATAACCGAGAAGAATTAAACAATGAATTGCGGTCTAAACATGACCCGCAAGCAAAAAAGGAATGAGGGTTGAAAATGACCGAGTGAAATGAACAAGAACATGTGTAAGGTAAAAGCGTTAGCCGAATTCTCAGGAGTGGCAGGAGAGTAAACATGGTCTGCTCTCTTCGTAGTAACTGATCACCACGTGTTTTTCAAAACTGAACATTGCCCTTTCCGTGAAAACGTGGTTTTCAGGCACTACTTCAGAAAGAAACGGTAAATATAGAATCTCATGTTCAGTGGGATAGAACGATGGGTAGGTAAAAGTAATTGCTTAAAACTCACATCTAACTTTTGATTTATAAGGGAATGTGTGGAAATGGTACAGCATCGTTGTGTGATACACATAGGGGGGTCGTATTTTTCGGCTGAGGGGGGCTCGTATTTGGTCGTTGGGAGAGGAGAAGGGGTCGTATGTGGCTGCGCGGGAAGAATTTTTTCCGTTTTTTGACTTTTCCTAATTTTTTCTGTTTCATCTGTGCTATATACCCCCTCTCCCCTTTCGACAGGAAAATTTTCGGGTGAAAAACTGGAAATGTGGGAAATTGGTGGGTAGATGTTGGGGAAGGAGGGGGGGGGGGTCGTACTGACACCACCATTTCACACATTATAATGCTGTACCGTGTAGATCCCCCACAAATCCTATCCGCAGCCTCATCGTGGCGTGGGGGTGAACGGTTTTGGACTGTTCCAAAAACGTACCAATGCGGAGGGTGCCACGTCAGAGCCTGGCGAGCTACGCGTGGTTAAATTTCTTCTCGCCGAAAACAGTAACAATATGGGCCTCATTCCCCTGAACCTGAGGGAACCACCGACAGGGCGACGTCGGCTGGGACCGCTCGGGCGAGGCTGCTAAAATCACAGGGCCAACGGAGATTCAAGTCGCCCAGGACTAGGATGA